CTGATTGAGGATCTGTAATATATGAATAGTATGCATGCTATGTGTTTTGAAAGCCTTTTTCATATCATTTTTAAATGCAATTGATATAGCATGAACATGTTGAATATGTAATTTTTTTATGGATATTTCATTAGAAAAAAATGTAAAGGCGTAATATTTATTAGATTTTTTAGAAATCATTAATCCATTTATTTCAAGTCTCATCACAATTTTTGCTTGAAATGTATCAGAAAAGTATAAACAATTTTCTACTATAAAATGATTAATTTTAAAAGAACCTTAAATTTTTTGAATGTTCTAAAATTTTATTTGAATTTCAATTTGATTGTAATCCTGTAAAGAAAAATATGAATACACTTTGTATTTAAATGGCCCTTAGTCGAAATAATAAATTGTATGCTATGTGCAATTACAAGGTTTTTGATTAATAATATTCTGCTGAAATATGTAACTGTGTCAGTATTTCTGACTGATCTAAATAAACTGTTTATTCGCATTGTAAAATATTTTCATAATGCTTCTTATTGTTCTCTATGTATTTAATATTGTCTTTATTTTTATTATCTTTTTTATTTATTTATTATTTTTTTTTTTTTGCACAAGAAGTGCACTGTTCAAATGTCTTTGGTAAACCTTTAAACGGAATTTGTTTATGGATATTTTCTGCTTCATTCTCCCTGTAGCAACAACATAAATATGATTATATGAATAATTTGTAACTGTTTATATTAGATGCGCTTACTTCTCATAATTCCGCTTTTCGAGTACTTTCTGTTTGTGACCTTTTCCATTTGTTCAAATTTCTTGTTTCGTAAGAAACATATGTTTCTCCGAAGGGTCCCTTTGCTGAGTCTATCAATTGCCTAAAACAATAATACACGTATTCTTCAAGAAAAACTTTCAGAGAGATCAAAATAACAATTTAATATGGAGCATTCATAATAAAAAAAATAACTCATTTTCAAATGATAACAAAATTTGATGGTTAACGCTAAACATATGAAAGTTACATGAAGAATAACTGGTATTTAGAGTACTTTGAAAGACATATGATTCAATTTTGTTTTTAATAATATTTAGAGTCAAGTTACATGAGGGATAACTGGCAATTAAAGTACTTTGAAAGGCAGATGATTCAATTTTGTTTATAATAATATCTAGAGTCATAATTATTTATATTGTGTACTTATATGTACTTACGGTTGAATTACCTCAATTTTGAGAATTTTTCAATCATAATTTGCGTATAGGGTTGAAATTACAAACTTTGAGTCTTAAACATGCAAGTGAACCTGCAATAAGATAGAATCCGCGGGGTCCTGCAAAAGGGATTCAATCCCTTTAAGCAAGAATTAACCATTTAACTGACGACTTTCATGAAAAAATAAACATAAATTTTGTAGAGAGTTACAAAAACAAATGCAGAAATCTAGAATCTTAAAAATTGTGGAAAATTTACTGTTTTCTTATACTCTTGTACATTAATATTTGCAACAACAGTAGAATCATTAAATTTTCTGGGCAACAATTATCGTGGATTTCTTAAAGAAGAAAGTTCATCAACTCCATAAAATGACTATGTACATAGATCATCAAACTAACCTCTACCGTTCATGGTAGCTCAGTCGGTAGAGCGCTCGCTCCGTGATCGGGAGGTCGTGAATTCGTATCTCGGCCGCGACTGACCTAGTCGTAAAAATGAGTAGAATATGTTCCTTCGCCATGCGCTCGGCACTATGAAGTGAAAGTTGCGGGTCTTTCGGATGAGACCTTAAAAACCGAAGCCCCGTGTCAGCGGCAGGTGTTAGCACGATAGAGATCTCTCACTGCTCAATGGCCCTGAGTGTCGAGTAAAGGTCAAAATTTGAAGCCCTTCAACGGCATACGGTGACGTCTCCATATGAGTGAAAAATTCTCGAGAGGGACGTTAAACAATATACAATCAGTCAATCAATCAAACTGACCTAATATCATTGTGTCACTAAAACATCAATATGAAGCCGAAAGAATTTTGAAGAGAAATGGGCACATTCACTTAATGAATTAATCTCTGACACATTTTTTTTTTCATTTTATGATTAAACATTCTAACTCTAGATACATCCTAGAAAGGGGTTACGCATTAAAGTACCGACCGAACACAACCTAACACCAGAGCGAACCCAAAGAGGAACCCGGGTTCGCTTTGCGGGTTCGCTCGGTGTCCGCTTCGGGTTCACTTTCAGAAATTTTGGGACCGCTCTGTGTGCGCCTTGGGTGCGCTCAGGGTTCGCTCCGCGTTCGCTCATGGTCAGCTCTGGGTCCAATATAGCGTACTTGGCGTTCGCTCTCTGGGACAACTTTGCGCAATGATGCGTGAAGCGGACCTCGCTTTAATCGCACCGCCAGTAAGCCCCCACCCCATGTATATTCCAGTACAGTAATGGTATTTCGGAATCTATCATTGTTGTTTTGGCGGCGATCGATACATATACACATTTCGTGTATACAGTGAAATTATGGAGAACATTGATAAATTTTTTAAAATTCCACTGTACATTCGACGTATATTTAATTAATATTTCATTGATTTCTCTGCACTCTTAATTTCGAAAAATGTTATTTAACAGAGGGCTGTAAAACATTCTTTTTTTAATTCATAACGAAAAACAAAAACGGAAGAGGAAGAAAAGGTGATGAATTGATTTTTAATGTGTCGAATGGTGTACAAGTGAAACTGACGAAAGCATCTAAACTAAACAGTTCAAATTTATGCCTTATATACATGTAGTTCTAAATAATATTCATTAGTCTTTATGTTCTGCTAGATCGTAGTTTTAATGTTTGAAAAACACTGAATTATGATATCTATAAATTAGCCTATTGTAGACGTAATATATTTAGGTTACTTTATAGTAGTTACACATTGAATATTCGAAATGTATATTTACCGGACCTTTTCTAAAAAAGAAAAACAAATAGATTATATCAGATCTTTATTACGATCAGAATTATGGAGCGAGTATGATTTTTATCAGAATGAAAAAATTAAAATGACAATTAATAATTGTTCTCCCGATAAGAATATTAATATGCTGTACCCCCTACTTCACATACACACCTTAATGAATTTGAAATTATTTTTAAAAATATTTTTCAATATTTAAATATTAATAAATATAGGAAAATCAAGACAAAAAAAAAATAGATCCTAGCTGTAAAATCGCATCGTATAACTAAATTTTAATAACAAAGCCTGATGTTATTTTAGACATTTCTATGAGTCGTCCTACCCATTCTGTACTCGAATTATTTTCTATTAGACTAAAGCAGCTTATTTCGTAATAATATACATGCCAATGTACATGCACATTGAAATTTATCATGCCCAATTAAGAAGATCAATAATTTTGATGTGAAATTTGATTAATATGAAAAACCATGTTAATTGAGACAATGGAAATAAAATAATTGAATATTGGGCACGTACATGTACGCTCGACATATTCATGTACTGTATCTTGAGATAATAAAATTATACGATTTGTCAAATCCAGTTATTTTTTCTTCTTTTTTTTTGTCCTTTTATTTTATTAAAAATTGAATTCTCAAATATTTTCTTTTTTTTCTTTTACTCATTGACTGATATGATTACCCAATTTATATTAATTTTTATCAATCAATACTGCTAAAAAAATAATGATAAACTAGATGAAATCTCGTTGCGAAATTGTTTAATCGATGAGATATGATTCTGACTATGATATTTGTTACAAAATAATATCTAAGACTCACTTGATTAAATTCTTTTGATTTATTCAACAATCTCAAATACTTATAGATGAAAGTGATTTGGCCCCTCTCGGTCCCTAATTTGAGGGGCCAGACCCTTTTCTTGATTTCAAATGAAAGGTCTCGTGATTTTGAACACTTTTTGTTCAAGACCTATTCACAGATCTCTTTTCGTTAAAGAGATATCTTGCATGAAGATATTTAGGGGCCACCAATTCAATTCCTTAATGTGGCGATTTTACAATATTTAAAACGATGCATATTGTTTGGAACATTATTCTGACCATCCTTTATTCAACATTGCTTATATCAAAATATTTCTCCTATTCGAGATATAAACCGACAAACACTTCATATTCTGGCCCCTTGTGACCCCTAATTTCGTAATGCATGATTAAAATTTTATACGATGTTGTTGCAATTCGTTAAGATGAATACCTTTTAATCAGTAATGTATTACAAAATATATATCATTAAAGAGTTATAGATGAAAGACGTTTGGCCCCTCTGAGCCTCTATTTTGAAGAGTCAGCCCCTTTTTCTTGATATCAAATGAAAGGGCTTTTAAATTCAAAGACTTTTTGTTCAACGCTTATTCAGAGATTTCTCTCAGTTGTGGAGATATGCTGAATGGCAATATTTGGGGCTACCCCTGAACGTCCTTAATGGGGCCATTAAAAAAATTCACAGTCTGCATATTGCTTAGAACATTATTCTGGCTATCTTTTGTTCAATATTGCTTATCAAAATATTCCCCCCTTTTGAGATATAAGGCGTCAAAGATTTCACATTCTGGCCCCTTGTGACCCCTAATGACGTAGCATATTATCTCAATTTTATAATATATTGTTGCAAATCTTTAAGATGAATATCTTTGCTTCAGTAATATTTAACAAAATATCGATCATTATAGTTATAGATGAAAGACTTTTGGACCCTCTGAGCCCTTAATTTTAGGGGTCAGTCCCTTTTTCTTGATATCAAATGAAAGGTCTTGTTATTTAAAAGATATTTTGTTCAACACTTATTCAGAGATTTCTATTCGTGGTGAAGATATGTTGAATGGAAATATTTAGGGGCCATCGCTCCAAGTCCTTAATGGGGCCGTTTTACAAAAATTCAAAGTATGCATATTGTTTAGAACATTATTCTGATCATCTTTTGTTCAATATTGCTTATCAAAATATTCCCCCTTTTTGAGATATAAAGCGTCAAAGATGTGACATTCTGGCCCCTTGTGACCCCTAATTACGTAACATATGATCAAAATTTTATAAGATATTGTTACAAATTGAAAGGGAAGATGAATATCTTTGCCTCTGTAATGTATAACAAAATATTGATTAATAAAGGGATATAAATGAAAGAGTTTTGGTCCTTCTGAGCCCCTGATTTGAGGGGTCAGCCCTTTTTTCTTGATTTCATATGAAAGGTCCCGTGAATCTGTACAACTTTTCATCTATATGTTTTAACAAATTATGAATAGATACGAAGATATAAAACAAAAGATGTCAAATTTTGTGAGATGTTTCCGAGACATGTTTTTGGCTCTAACAGGCTTCGGCGCCTTTTGCGCTATGAAAATTTGGACGCCTGCCTGCAACTCAGCGAACCTTTCCTTACTTTCACTGAAAATCTTGAGTCAATATTTTAAGTGGTTCCGGAGGAGTTTTCGGGACAAGCCTACCCTCTAAAAATCAGAAAATCATCCATATCTCACGACCGGAAGTGACGTCATCGACGACTAAAATTTCCGACAAGGTTCAGATAAATATCTATCAGATCTGAAAGTTTGGTGAAAATCGGTCAAGCAATTTTCGAGAACTCGCGTGCACAAAATCGGTAAGAAAAAAATAGAATAATAATAGGGAAAAAGAAACCGAACGAAAACAATAAGGTTTCCTTGGAAACAGAAGACCTTGATAAAATAAATAGGTAAATTGTTTAATCGCTAATCCTGATTGACAGCTCCGTAAAGAAAAACCTAACACACGTTCACTTTCTGGGACCGCTACTGAATTGGGGTTCACCCTCTGGGTCCGCTTCGGGTTCACTATGGCTCCGCTTCGTGGTCACTCGGGGTCCGCTCCGGGTTCGCTCGGGGTCAGCCCTAGCGGACCCTGAGCGAGCCCCAAGCGGACCCAGTGCCCGGGTTAGCTCCGGGTTTGCTTTCTGTTGGGTTGTGTCTGGTCGGTACTGTATATTAAATAGCAGCATAACAATCCTGGTCATTTTTCGATATTTTTTCAAGATTGAAAGAAAACGACAAATTTTATGACGTCATTATACGTAGAAAACCGCAAAAGGTACCTCACGTTAAATTTCCATGCAGTCACCAAAGTTTCAACTAGAAGAATCACATGTTTCAATTCTAATTGGGAACCTTGTTCTACATGTATATTTTTGGCTCCCATGGTACACGTTTATTATTATAAATGTTTAACAGAGCAAGTACAAAATCCTAAGTGAACCTTGTTCACATTAATAGGCGTTTTGGAGTGTATTCCAGCAATGGGTACTCATATGATATAAAAGAAAATGTGGCTCCCATGGTACACGTTTATTATTACGTTGATGAAGGTGTTTACAAATGTTCCTAATATTGAGCTGCAATGGAATCTAATGATTTCTCAAGTAGGTCTCTAAAATGTACATCAAGTACTTATGTTAAGGTTATATCATCTGCCTTTAATCGGGGAAACGTTTTCAGCCAAAGTATGGTTACTTTAACTAAATAGTATATTTTTTATTTCTTTCTATCTGATCTTTTTACCGTTGTGAGATCGAACCATCGACTCTCGAATTCTTCTTCTGACAGTTGGTTCACTTTTAAATGACAAAGGAAATTTCGGTGTTGATGAATTCGTTCAATATCATCTCCTTCGCCTGTATTTTCCAAATTTGGCTCAACATTCCAACCATTCACCGGTGCTTTAACGGTTGTGGTATTGCGCAAAAGTTTATAGAGAAGTGAAATGTCGAAATTTTTGGAAGAAACTAATCCATTTTCTAAAGAAATAAACATCAACTTATTGTTAGAATAAGAAGGGCAATTCATTTACAGGGAATAATGTAAACCAAATTTTATTTAAAATGATAAGGTGGGTAATGAAGTGTAATCACATACTTGGGAAAAGTTCTTGCAGCTGGTCATTTCTGCATTTCCAGGAATTGCGTAAACCATCTTTGTACTTAGAAAGATGGCTTGCAAGACAATTTGGTGGAATTAGTCTATCAAATATAAAACGAAGAGCCCCCTTTGCCATGCTTTCACATTCCTTGTAGCGTAGAAGGTTTAGTTCCTCTTTGCAAACTGCATTGACGTCTATAAAGACATTAAATAAAAGCCATGTATAATGTTATCTTTTTATAATGATTTTTCTATAATCTTTTAAAGAAATATTCCTAAGAAAACATGATTTTCAAGAGAAATAAGGTTCTCCCGGATAGGTACTTTTGTTTTTGTTTTTTATTGTTTTGTTTTATTTTGTTTTGTTTGATTTTCTTGTTTATTTCTTTAACAGTAAGTTATCTTTCCCATCTACATGACTTAGCTTTTTGTATTTGTAAAAAAAAATCTGTTCTCCATTTGTAGCCCCCATCTTTAGAAGCTGTTTCTCTTACACAATTTTTTATCTTCGTTTTATCTATTTGTCATTTCTTTTAAAAGTTTTTGAAACCTAAACTTCCAAGCAAATTTAAAAAGAAAAAATATCCTACAGTTAATAACATTTTAAGCAATTGATTATTATCATCATGAATACATCTTTTCACTTACCCTCCAAAACATACAGTGAAACCACGTTACTTTCCACATAATTCCTTTGCTGGTGGACCTGGCGGACCTCTACCCTGTATTTTCCTTTGTCAGAAGGCTCTATTTGATTTATTGTCAATCGACCAGTATTTGATAAGCCCTGACAAAAACACTCATCATATTTTGAGCTTCCAGTGTCCAATTTCGAAAAATTATCGTTGACAAATCGAGTCCACGTTAGTTGACCAATGAAGCTGGTGTTGTCACATGTTGCTGTTATTGTTACACTACCCCCAGGACTTATGAATACTGTTTCAGGGGTCAGTTGTATCTTATCTAAAAACATGTTGGGTTTAGAATGATGTTGTTGTTAAAAATCGCTGAATATTACAAATTTACTGGTGAAACTTTTAAAACAGATAATACATTCCCATCAAGTACTATCTCTGTATATTCTATTAATTTTACACTCTTATACATCTGTATTTAATATATATATATAATATTGCAAACCAAAAAAAAAATATTAAATTTATTTGAAGAAGTATATAAAATCCTTTTTTTTTTGTTTTCATAAGATTTGAACTACAAATTAACATATCTTATCTCATTTGTTACTTTAAATCTAAGAGAGGGAAATTGTTGCATATCCGTTTATGTACAACGCTATTTCTTTCCTTGTGTTATGACATATTGTATACGGGGAAATTTTGTCTCCCATTTTATTTTCACCTCATTTGGGCGAATTTAAAACGGGGCGAATTCAAAGAATACAGTATAATTTCTTAAACAAGACTAGGACTGGGCGAATTTAAAACGAGGCAAAAATGTTTGAAACAGTGAAATGGCGAAAATAAGACGGGGAGAAAATAACCCTGTATGCAGTATTCAGGATGACTATGTCCTTAAAATTGTGTATATACATTATATTCAAATCTTCATCCAAATACATTGAGCCTAAACTATTCTATTTATTTCTTGAAGCATTTGTCATTAGAATAAAATATAAATTAAAAGATCCCTAAATATATAATACAAAAACATAGCATCAGGAATACCTAGATATGAAGTAAAATGGATACTGAATGTGTACTTAAAGGCGGGATGGCTTCATCGCAGACAGCGATGTGCTAATTCATGATAACTGTTAATGAATGAATAAGATATATGATTTACTTAATTTGATCTGTCATTTTATTATTAGGCCTCGAACACCGAACCCGATTTCGTCGTTATCAATTTTACAGAGTACAGGCCTATGTAAATCATTCAAAATTTAGGTAAATATAATTTAATGTTTTTAATCTACTTTCTAGAATCAATTTTAATATAAAATGGATTATTTGTACTTGTTACTTGGACAGGTCAGTTAAACTGTATTAACCCACACACTCAAAACCTCGACAATGTATATAAAAGTGTGGTATAAGTTATACAATTCTGTTTTAACACAATGATACGCAATTTATATGCTGTTTAAAAATTATTTCAAATAAGATATTAAACTTCTACAGTTACATTCCTTTGAGAAATTTGAATCATTTTGAGGCGTCATTACTTTGTTGTGAAGGGTTGCAAAGAGCAAGAGCCATTTTGGGCATTATTAGGACCTGAGAATTTCCAAAACCAAAACCGCTTAGTTTAAGTTTCAGTTGCAAATAAAGTATTTATCGCTAAGAGTGTTGTGACCACATTTCTTTTAACCATGACGTAATTTTCCCTCTAGTAAATGCATTATGACGTCATAAAATGCGTCATTTTCCTCAAATCCTGTAAATTCCTTCAAAAATCGACTAAAGTTGAAGTATTTTTTTTTCATATAAAGCACAACCTCTGATCCAAAATATGCTACTACATAATGAAAGATCTGTTTCTGAAGATCAAAAAACACGTTTTATTTTTTTTGGATCGTGGGCTGTGTTCATATTATAATTCTTTGCTGAAGGTAGTCAAATACGAATGTTTTCTGCAAAATTCAAGAACATAGCAATTTCTAGAAATCTGTTTCCCAATATCTGGAAATTTTATTATAGGAAATAAAAGCATCAAGTGTCTACCTTATTTTATACATGAAATGGGTCAGAGTGTGGTAGTTAATTGATTGATATAACTACAGGGCCATATTAAGCATTAGATAAACCTAGCCCTTTATACCTGTGCTTGGCAATTACGGTCATTGAACAGTGAGGGATTTTTTTTTGTGCCAACACCTATCATAACACATAAATTGGTTTGTATGGTCTCATCGGAAGGACATATCTCTATGTCCAACAGTGTCATTTGAATTTGCAACCTTAGAACTCCTTAGTCCGTGGCTCTAGAGCAAATGATGAGCCACTTGACCACCATAAAGATCAAATAATGTATGTACAAAGTGTCAATGAATCAATCAGGGTCTTGCGGAAGCTTCTATGACTTCTATATGATTGATAAATTCTTCTTTGTTACATGTATATTCAACTTCACTCTTTAAAAAGGGTTACTAATAATTTGACATTAAACGGAAGATTTTAAGCGTCAGAATTTATTTTAAATTGTTATACATAAAATTATATACTCCAAATTTAAGAAAAAACGTATTTAAATTATCGTCCTCTATGAGGAAGACTTATTATCAGGAAAAAAAATTCAGAGTTGTAATTTTTTTTTCAATGAAATTGATTAAGTGGCATGCATTGCAAGAATTTTGAAAAACTTACCCGTTGAGGATGCCATTCTTAAGCTTCGGTGTAATTCGCACTGTCAAAAATTAAAAGGAAATAAATCTGTGAATGTATACAAAATTTACTTGAAAAAAAATTGGAAAAAGGATATAAGAACAGAATTAAATGAAGAATGTTTCTGAAATTGGGATTTGCATCAAGTAACAAAAATATGCTATAATTAAAAAAGCATGTCAAATGCAGGCATGACTTGTACTGATTTAGTTTATTAGGACAAGAATCTTTCAGCAAGACAACATTCTGAAGTCAAATTTTGAAAGCCAAAGTAAAAGAAACCTACCGATTGAAATTAATTTTATGATATTACCTGTTTTTTAGCATTCTTTGTTGTAGGAAAACTATGGAAATATCATATAAAAAATACGAACTTCTTAACTGCACCAAGTTCTCGTCGGAAATATGCACTGTGATCATTCTGCCTCTTTAAAAGTATTACTAAATCCGTATTGTGAAAAACTTCCTTGTGTTATCTTGAATATTCTAATTTACATTTGTGTATTTATAATTGACTTCCAAGTACTCCATTAACATATCCACAAGGATAATACAAAACATTCAAAAAAAAAAATTTTACGTCATACAAATTTCTAAATTATCAACAGTATCCAATTCTTATATCTTGTGAATATTAACCACCATGTTAGTGTTTTGCTTTTTCATTCAATGAAATTCACAAGAGTACATTTCATCAATGATTGTTATTATTATTTTCTACAATTAAGTCAATATTGACCGTCATACAGTGTACATTGTGGGAGTGAAATTGTTTTTAACACAATTACTTACCGGAATCAACTATTAACAAGCAGAAACCCATTAAACTTTGCTTTGCAGGTTTAAGATCGTTAAAATTAAATAATGATTACAACAGTTACATGTTAGATATAAAAGATGTCTTTTTAAATTTATGATATCTGTAATTTACAAACAAGATTCTAAACATTGCATAATTACTGAAACATGTACATGTATCAATCACAATAATTTGAATCAGAAATCAATTGAAAGTAAACTCTAAAAAAATTAATATTTTACAACAAATGGATGAAACACTTAAAAATACAAATACCAGAATATATTTTACATTAAATATTTTAAAATTTGTTCTGACTATTTGTGATAATAAATCTTATTTTCTTTTCGTTCTAAAAAAAATTGAAATTGAAAAACAGCCAAAAAAAGAGAGAAAAAAAAGGAAATAAAGTCTGTTTCATGGTCTTAACATTTTTCCTAGAAAAGAATATGTCTATTCGACATACTCTCCAAATGAGAGAAAAATCAAGATAACAGAAAGAAAAATATATCCTATTAATTGTTTAAGATGTAGGAGGGTCATTAAAAAAGTTCGCAGATTTTAGTCCTCATTTTTTTTTTATTAAACATCATATTATATCCAAATTTTTAGTAGCAAATTCGAATAATTTTAGTAAAATTATTTGATTATATCTTCATATTTATAATAATTATTAAAGATTTAATATAGCAAATATGGGGTCACGGAGCAACGTCAAAATAAGTATTTTAAAATAATTTTTACTTTATAATACTTGTAGCCATACCTGTATAAATGGAACTGAAATAAAATAAAATTTACATGTTTGAATATAGTCCTGATGCACTACTTAAGATGTTTTTAGCTAATATACATTATTGCTCTCTTTAAAAGATATAACTTTTTAAATTCAGATGGACTTGATTAAAAAAGCCAAAAGACCATGATATTGGAAGACGTCATGGAGCAGAGAGTAACAATAAAATTTTCTTTTGCATTCGGGAAACTTCTTTAACAAACTTAAAAAGTTCTCTATAAACCAGAACATGTATGAAAAATAACCAGTGCAGTGTATTAACTTGAATAAAACAAAAATACAATTCGTGAGTTAAAATTGGACAATGGATGGTCTGTAAAGAAACAGGTTATCTATAAAAATCTTGTCAAAAGAATCAAGAACGTCATTAAACGTGATTTACGCTTCACTGTTGCGGAACAGATAGAGTCACATTTAAACTGCCAATCTACATGTAGTTGAGCTATTTGCACAATTATTACCAAACTAGGCATCAAGTGTTATGGATACGTTTTTATGAATTTAAACGCTTCAAACCGTGTAAAAGTCGAAAAGCGGAGTAAATTTGAAAAACTTTCTCGACGTTGTTTTTGACGTTACAATTTTAGTTAACCGTCCTCCGTCGTAGCAAAACATGTTGGTTTGAAAATTGACTTACATGAGTTCTATTCAATCAAAGTAATGAAACTTAACACTTCGGCAGAATTTATAATTTCATTTACGAAAATGCATTGATCTATCATCTTTGTATAATATTATGACGTTATGGAACATTGTCTACATATATTTTTTATGAACCTCGTATGAAATTGATATTCTCGCACTTTTTTGCCATAATCTAAAAACATCTTTTGTTTTAAGGAGGAACAGGACCTTTAGCTGAAAAAATTCCTGTCAATGAATTTTTTTCGTATTTTTTTATATTTCTAAATTATAAGGTACTTAACATTTTAAAACGGTACCATCATGATTTCTTGACTCATTTAAAAGATATCACCCCATAAATACCGCTTCTTTATTTCAATGGAGTGATACTCTCATCTCTTCTGTTCTCTCTCTCCATAATTTTCTTACTCTCTCTCTCTATCTCTCTCCATCATTCTCAAATATTTGTGTATATTCACAGTGTTTACTTATTTGAAATCAATTGTTTTGATTTTACAGTATTTGTGGATAATTTCTGCATAATCAGCTTCATGACAAAAACCTCATTTGGAAAAAAATTCTGTCAATAAATATTTCTAAATTTATATTGAAAACCATTCATCGTAATTATTTACTGCATAAATATCACAGGGTGAAGCTTACCTCAATATCGCACAGGACAGCGTTGAATTAGGTAGTATGATAATTCACGTTTTTTTCCAATTGCGGGAAATCAACTTGACGTCAATCAAAATATTAACATTCAAAAATCTAAATAGTAAACCTTTGCTACTAAACACGAAAAAATATTAATTTTTAAAAATTAAATATTTATTACGATACATTGACTTACTTGTTTATTATGAAATAAAAGATCATGTGTGTGTGTACTTGATTTGCTGCACTGAATTTATAATATGACTGTCAGACTGCACAGAAACAAAATTCTTAAACCTTGCAAAAAAACTGAAAAATGTAAAAATGTGATACATGAAAATAATTTATATACGTAGTATTATATAAAGAACAAGTATATATTCACATTTTAAAATTTCAATTTGATGATTTTCCACTCATAAATTTATTTTGAAAGTAAACAATGTACGTAAAAAATGTTTTTACATGAATGGATGGAAAAATACCCGGCCTTCTATATATCAATATAGAAATACCTTAATACCGATTTTTCATTTTTGAAATATACCTTGTTTAATAAAAATAAAACGTCAGAATATATTATTACATTAAATATTAATAAAATTTATTGTTCTCTGATAATTAATAAAAACTATTTATAAATCTTATTTTAAATTTACACATTCTTTAAAAAAATAGAAATTGAAAATTACAGCCAATAAAAAGGAGAAAAAAAGGCCAATTAATACAGTTGTTTCATGTATCTCACACAAAAGCATATTTCCTAGAATTTGAAGTCAAATATGTCTATTCGAAAGTACTCCGTGCAACAAAAATGAGAGCAAAAATGAAGAAACAATGTAAAACGTTTACAAAAATATCAAATTAACCGTTGTTTAGATATGCAAGACACAAATTTTAAAAAAGTTAAAGGTTTTAGTCTGTATTTTTTTTATCAAACGTTTTCATATTAAAAAAATATCCAAATTTTTAGTTCAATGAAATTGATTAAGTGGCATGAAAGAATTTTGAGTAAAACTACAATTTGATTATATCTTAATTCGCACTTATAATAATTATTAAAGATTTAATCTATGCAACATATTTACGAAAAAAAAAAATTGGAAAAAGGATATAAGAAAGATAATTTTTAGAATTTATTTGGATAAATAACATAAATGTATAAATGGAACTGAAAAAAATAAAATGCACATGTTGTGAATATAGTTTATTAGACAAGCACTACTTAAGCAAGACAACATTTAAAATATACATTAAAGAAACTCTCTTTTTAAAAGATATACTTTTTAAATTCTTTGTTGTGAACTTCATTAAAAAATAAAAGACCATGGCATAATGGAAGTTCTTCGGATATGAGCAGAGATCAACAATAAAATTTTCTTTTGTATTGTGAAAAACTTCTTTGTTATCTTGAATATTTAAAAAGTTTACATTTGTGTATTTATAATTGAACATGTATGAAAAATAACAAGGTATTAATTTGAATAAAACAAAAATAAATTTGTAAATCATAAAATTTCTAAAATTGGTATTGCAATTCTTATATCTGTAATAAACCAAACCATGGTTATATATAAAAATCTTGTCAAAAGACATTTCATCAATGAACGTTATTAAACTTATTTTCTACGCTTCAATATTGCGGAACAGATATACAGTGTACATTGTATATTGAAAAAGGCTACAGATTACCTACCGAGAATCAACTATTAACAAAAATCATTAAACTTTTTCAGGTTTGCTCGTACTGCAAATAATGATTACAACGCTACATGGCTTGCATATAAAAGCTGTCTATTTAAATTTAAACGTAATACACGGATTCTAAAATTGCATAAGTAAACATGGTATTACAATCAGAAATCAATTGAAAGTAAACTGCAAAAAAGGCTGCAAATGGATGAAACACTTAGAAATTTGTACACGTACTCACACGCTTTGTAATATATTGAAAAAAATCCTCGCATATATTTTGGCCTCGGTTTTGGATTTTTCTACCATTTGTGATAATCTCGGGCATTATTACGGTTTAAAAAATCATATTAAATGGAAAAACAGCCACAAAAGGAAATAATATTTAGCAGCAGTTTAAAAAAGTAATCATACTACATTGGTTCCTATTAAATGTTTAAAGGGTCATTAAAAAAGTTCGTAGATTTTAATTTTTTTTTATTTAATACTATATCTAACAGTTGTAGCAAATTCAAAAAATAATTAATTTGAAATTATTGTCAAGATCGTTAAAGATTTAATTATTTATCCAACTGTTTTAAACGAAATAATTTTTTCACTAATAATACTATTTAGCCATAATAAATGGACACTTTTTTATATATTAGATGCACTCAAGATGTTTTTAGCTAATATACATTATCTCCAATGAAAATTTTTTTTCAGAGTATAATTAATAAATAAAGACACAAATTCGATTGGTTATTTTCTTATCTGGATTATTGATACATTTTTAATGATTTTTTAACAAACTTAAAAAGTTCTGTATAAACCAGAAGCATTATGAAAAATAACCAAGGTATTAAACCAAAAATAAATTTGTGAGT